TATTAGCTTGACCGATAAATAATATCTAAACACACCTAGAAATGTTTAGGTAATTTTTGGAAAATCAATTACTATCCATCGAGATTTTGTATTAAATCTTAAAACTACAAGCCTGAAACTTTTATAATTTGAAGATAAAAATAATCTCTGAGGAAAGAGCAATAAAATTTGGACAATCATTGCTCATTGGCCAATCCAAGATGCATAAATCTTTACAGCTGGTTGTGACTGATGAGATTTTGGATAGTATCGAATTCTAGGACACTGCGGCAGTAACATGCGTCTTTTAATGTTAACAGTTTCTTCCCAAAGTTCAATGTTCTATCCAACTTTTAAGTCTTCGCATTCTATTTGACTTTGATCAATGTACGAACGAATGAATTTACTAAAATCAAATAGTTTTCTTACATCGATCTCTATATTTTTGATCTCCGTCTTTCTTCCTTTTATTTAGTAACCCGTCCTACTTAACTTAAAAAGAAGCTAGAAGTTACTAGGACAGCTAATGACTGAGAAGACTCATTTCTTTTCAGAGCATAGTACATCGATTAGACCGTTCGTCGAGCTATATTGGTATGGAATTACCCATCGTCAAAGAAAAACACGGTATTAAGGGTGAAGGTGTGGATGCAGGTAAAAAAAGGAAAGAAAAATAATTAAGAGTTCCGAGGGATTTTATATTCTCATGGAATAACCCAGGGGTAAAAGAGAAATAATGAATTGAATAGAATGGTAAGAATGCAAGTAGAGAAAAAAAGAAAAGGAAAGTGACAATTGAGGGATTTTAAAAATGAATGGATTAGGGACGGACGGCGACCAAGCATAAAAAAAGGAAAAAAAGAAGGAAAAAAAAGAAGGAAAAAGTGAAAGCGAAGAGGAGGAATGTAAATAGTTGTAAAAGAGAAGAAGAAATACCTCGATTCGATCGGTGGTGTTCGTAGCCATTGGCAAGGTGTTCCTGAGAGTCTCTGACGTCGAGGCCGTGGATGGCCTTGGTAAGGCCGTAACAAGAAGCAGAACCGCATTTCCTGTCTTCGTCTACGATCGTTTCTTCGACGTTAACCTCGACGTCGCTCCCGTCACTTCCATCTTCGAAATAACCACTCTCGTGTTCGGGATTTTTCATTTTGTTAGACGCTCCTCTTCTCTTTAACATACTTCACTAATCTTAAGTGCTTTCCTTTTTTTCTTTTTCTTATAATCGTTCCACTTTTTTTTCTCCCTCTTGTTTTTCTTTTCTTCTCTTAACTCTTATCTCTCTTATTTTCTCGAAATCTGTTTTTCTTCTTTCCTTTTATTTTATTCGATCATTCGAAGCTTTTTAATCTCTCGGATACGTCAGGGAGCGCGCGATAATAATCGAATAACTACTACTTTGCTCGGTATAACGCGAATTAGCTGATTAATCGAATCATTCTTCTTATTTTTCTTTTAAATTTGTTCTCCTCTTTAGCGAATATATGTATATATTATGTGGAATGATTAAATCCTTGGAGGTAAATTGAAAAAAATTAATGCCACGTGATTTTTTCTCTTCTTTTCTTTCATTAAGATGATTATGAAGAAAATAATACAAATAAAATAGGAAATAAGAAAGTAAAGTTATCCGTTCTCTTCTATATAATATCCTTATTTCCTTGTTCTTTTTCTTTAATATATCTTCGTATACGTTTAATGTTATATTATTCTTATTATTATAATTTCTTACTAACGTCACACCTCTCGTCGATTACGATCATGACGCAACAAGGTTGTTGTCTCTCTCTTTCTCGCGAAGAAACTCGTTCTTTTTTCGCCGTGACATCGACGTAGCGAATCTTCTTAACTCTTTCTTCTACTTATTTTTCTTCCTCACGATGAAATGGCAAAAATGTTAATATAAGAAAAGAAGAAAAGAAAAAGAAACTACACGGAGAGGAGAGTCACACACGCGACGAGAAGAGAAGAGTAAATGAACGAGCAGTGGGGAGAAGGGGGGGGGAAGAAATAAATGGCGAATTGAAATTCGATTCTAGGTAGTGTCGTAACAAATTCTTTCTCGTTCCTTTCGAGTTTAGTTTACAGTAACTAAATAGTAATAGTGGTGGTGGTGGTAGTAGTAGTAGCAAATAGTAGTTTGCCACCAACGTGTTCCAATTCCTTCGGACGTACTTTGCCGTTTAAATGGCACAACGCGCGACGGTTAAAAGAAATAAAAAGTCGAGCAAAAGTGTCACTTCGTAAAGGATAAAGAAGGAAGAGGTGAAGGAGGAGGAGGAGGAGGAGGAGGACATCGAGGAAAGGATGTCCAAGTTGTGGTCTGTGCTTTCGTCGTTATCCTACTGACACACTTTCCTTGCGATGCTCGTTGCGCCGCTGCTACGGCGACGACGACGACGACCGACCCAAGAGAACGTGCTGGAGGACAAGGTGGGGGCACGAGGAAGAAAAGGTGCCGTACATGTGAGAGAGAGAGAGAGAGAGAGAGAGAGAGAGAGAGAGAGAGAGAGAGAGAGAGAGA